AAAAAAGAAGAAAAAACTAGTGGTGTGTACAATAGTACAATATTTTGACAATTTTTGGCGGCTTCATTTGAAATGTTTTAAGGAACACACTTGTCCTAATATTTTTCAACAAGCAACATACTAGACTAAACAAAAAACATAACAACCACAAGAAAATTGTAAAAAGCTATCTCTAATGAAACAGTCTGAATAGAACTGACATTTAAGAATTTATGGTCGGCTCATCCAGTTTTTTTTTATCCTATTAAGTTATTTTTTAATGAGTTACATGACCATATAGAATATCATTCATCATATAACAAAACCAGTTTTGAAAAACTTCAACGATAACAGAGGAAAACTAAAAATTTTGCTTTACTTCAAAAAGCATATAAAAATGATAAGGGATTGGTTTTGAAGTAGTTTGATATATTTAAGAAAGTTAATTGATGTGTGTAAATAATTTATTGAAATCTGCAAACCTAGTTTTCTTTTCAAGATTACGAATCTCATCAACTGTGTGCTTCTCAAATAAGGCATTGGAGTCTGCCCTTGGCACATTGTTAGATGATGTTGTGGCTGTGAAAATAACATTTGAAATTGCATTATTTTTATTTAGCAACTGCTACTCAAAGATAAAGGTAAAACTTCAAAAATAAAAGGGGGATCTTACCATAATTTAAACTTTGAAATTTAAAAGGGAAATTAAATAATAGCATGATATGCTATTTGTCAAAGAGTAATTAGCTAAACCTGAACCAAGTAATTTCATTTTTGATTTTAAGAATATCAATAGCTTTTCATTATTATTATTATTATTATAGGTGGTTTTATATAGTGCAGTACCCCAGCATAAGGCTAGGCTCACTGCACCTCACATAAAAATTAACAATTAAATAAATGCATAAATTTGAAAACAACAATTGGCGAAAAGCTTGACCTCACCCACCCAAGTACTCCAACCAAGTACTATCTACCCCTGTCTAACCATGGACAGCACCCAGCAGAATTGAGCATTGTTTATCAGTCAGATGGGGGTGAGAATGAGCCGGTATAGTACAGTTTGAAGAGATAGGTCTAGAGGGCAGTTTTGAAGGCTGTGATGGTCATTATATTGCGGATGATTAATGGGAGAGAATTCCATTGTTTTGGGGCACAGAAAGAGAAAGATTGTTCACCATATGTTTTTGCGCGTGTTCTGGGAATAGAAAAAATATGTGTGTCTGAGGAGGAACAACGCTTTCAAAAGGTTGAATAGACAGTAAGAAGTTCAGTAATATCGGAAGGGCAGGAAATAGAGAAAAAGTTGTGACAGAGAACAGACAGCTTGTAATCAGTGCATGCCTGTATGGGGAGCCAATGAAGTGAGTGAAGTAGTTGAGTGATGTGAAAAGGTTTCTTTGCCTTTAGAACTAACCTAACAGCTGAGTTTTAAATTTTCTGCAATTTTTCTATGAAATGTTTTGGTGAACCTGGCAGAAGAGAGTTACGATAGTCAAGACGAGAGATAACAAGAGCAAAGACTAGTATTTTTGTTGCGCTAACTGTGAGGTAGTGGCGGATGGAGCTGATCTGACAGACAGCGGAGGACGCAGAGCGACAGATTTGAGAAATATGATTATTGAGAGACATGCTGTCAGAAAGAATGTAACCAAGATTCCTAGCAGAGGATGTGAACTCTATATCGGAGCTACCTACATGAAACAAGATGGGGAGAGCTGAGTTAGAGGATGATTCATGATTGTAAATGAGGAGTACTTGCTAGGCAGTGAGTGAACCTCTGCATTTGTGAGTTGTAAAAGAACAGTTTAAAAGCACACTACTTTTTCCACCTTTGTTTTGAATGTGCATGTCTATCATTCTTTTTTTTTTTAACTAAGCTATTTTTGATTCACCAAAAAAAACAAGACTGTTATTAAGTTTATTGACAGTGGAACAATTTTGGGACAATTTCTGCAATCCGTGCCATGACATGTGTCTGTGTAGGATTCTCTCCCTTTTGTTTATTCTTGTGTTGTTACTCGCGTTAACTTTTGTTTAATACGATGATGGAATGTTTTAAATTAATATTTCATTGGTTTGTTGATTATAATATTTAAATTTACGGCATTACAGAAAATGGGTTCTGGTATAGGATTGTATTGTATTGATCTTCTGACAACTTTTGGATTTTCTTTTTGGTGGAACCTGAAATAAAGTGTGTAAAAAATGTATTCTATGAAACTGTAAGTTGGGTTTTCATAATATAAATTTTTTTTTGAATTATTTTTCTTCATTTTTACAGTTTTCTTACCAGAGTGTGTAATTGTAGCCGCTAAATTGTTTTAGTTGAGGGAAAGGAGCATATACCGGCTGAAATGGGCAAGGAAAGGCGTTGAGATTTTTTGCTGCACATCTAGAGGGATACAATACAGTAGCTTTGTTCGCTATGAAATTTATGTAACGCCTAAATATTATTCCAATAAAATTTTAACGTTTTGTTCCTATTTTCCTTTCTCTCAGTAAATAGGTTACCCAGCACATTCTCTCCCTTGCCCTCCCCATTTTAGCAGATGTGTTTTTTACACGGCCGCCACATTGGTAGCCCTGACCTGTGATGGTTCATGGCAACCAAGATGGTGGCTGTGGGAAACATGGTGCGTATTCTGTAAATTTACCCATTTTTGAAATAACAAGTTCTTATAATTATGGAATTTTATTTTGCTTAATGGACCACTACAGCTATTTTAAAAATGTTGACTGGAATATTTATATGGGTGCTGAAAGGAATATGTTAAATATGTACAATGACGTTAAAAAATATTTCCATTTATTTAGATCAACACAAGAATAACTGTTAGAATAACTGGTAGAATCGCTGCATCGGCATAAATTTATATAGCACTGGCCACACTTCAAACACAAAAAACATTATTTGAAGATGCTGAAGTGGTAGATTACCTAATTTGAATTTATTGTAGTCCAACTTTGTACTATTTATAGGTAATAGGTACTCTATTACATTTTGAGCCTAACTATTTCCATTTTGGTTTGGTTGCTTCTGACTGAGTTAATGAGTCCTGTTAGTGTTCTTGTATACCACACAGAATTCAATAATAATATAAATTATGCTACTGTTAAATGATAAATGATATATTATTATGGCCCATGGCTAAGTCCGCTACAGATAACTATAAGCAACAACGATATTTTACTATTAACGCTAATTTCTGTATGGAATGGTTTGTCTTGAACTGCATTGTAGTGTCAGAGTTTTTGTCGTTAAGGGGCGAAGTTTTTTAAAGGCTTTGAAGTTTGAACATTGAAATTGAATGAAGGCGAAGGCAATCTATCCCTAATCGTGGAAACGGAAGTTCAATTTGTAGACATAATTAGAAGACAAAGGGCGTGAGGTCAATAAAACAGACACTAAATGAAAGTCTCAAGTAGCTGAAGATTTTTTTATTGTATAATTAGATAGATTTAAAAAGTTGTAGTAATTAAAGTTTTATGTGACACGTCAACCTAGGTACCTGATAGCCGGTGGGCGGCCATTTTGTTTGGTTCAGTTTAATAAATATAATTTTCTCAGAAATAAGAGTTTGAACACAGCATAGTGATAGTATGCATTAGCCCAGTTTCGCGTTTTAATAAATTACAACACATTTACCTAGTGATTTTTATAAATGATTAATTTTGCAAAGGCTTGTAAAAACTTTGATTTTTAAAGACACATTTAGTTTCATAAATCTTTGTAGTTTTTTGTTAAACCGAAATTGCATTAATAATCCCACTATGATCATTATAATTATGTGAAACACTTGCTTGAAGTAAAATATTTTAAAGTTAAAGTTAAGTAAATATTAAATATACATTTAAATAAGTTAGGGCATGGCCGATATTTTAATGTAGGGCCTATTAGATGGGCATTTTAATTTTTAGACCTATTTTGTGTTTATTTTTGTGTGTATGCTTTTTTTTAATGGAATTATTGTCCTTGTGATTTTCATCAAATAGGGGTGACATACACAATCAATCAAGGACCTACTAATTACCTCTTTCTGCCAAAGATTGTCAGTAAAGGTACATGGTTGACATTGTAGTTTTAACCCTCCCCCCCACAACTAAGGCCCTAAATGATTAATTCTGGGTCAATTATTATACTTAATTAGTCTTAGTCCTGAAGGAAGAGGCTTTACATTTCTCTTCCTATCAGTAGATCACTTAGTTAGGATTAATAAGGGGAGAGACTGCAATCAGGTTAGTACAAAATAAAATGAGTAAAACAGAGTAGGGTTAAACCTGAAAAAATAAACCTGAAAAAATAAACCTGAAAAAATAAACGCAACAAAACAAAATGTTTTGTTGCGTTTATTTTTTCAGGTTTAACCCTACTCTGTTTTACTCATTTTATTTAGTTAGGATTCACTGTTTCATTTGGTTATGGTGAGTTCATCAACTCTTAGTGTCCGTAGGTCAAATCCACATTTTGACACAGTAATTTTGTTGTGATAAATTTGAACCTAGGTGACCAGAAAATATTTCATAACTTTTTCTATTAAAATTGTGATAAAAAACAAATTTCTTGCACGTTTGAAAAATGTAAACACAGGAAAGGATACAGTGGTATTGATTTGTAATAAATACCCAATTATTTATATAAAATCCCAAAATTAAAGAGTCACTATGAAAAGCCACATAGACTGGCTCGCGTCAAAGCCTGACCGGCGGAAAGCTCGTCAGACTTTAAGAGTTAAAAATGGATCCATTTAATGCATAGACAGACTACAATTTCTAGGCGGGAGGAAGTAATGGAATTAATAGGCTAAAATTTCAAGGAGGGGAGGGATTTATGGAATTGAGTGACCTTAAATTATGGAAGGAATCAATGGACAACTAAAAACTGCTGATAATGATAAACTTAAATATCATTCTTAAAAGGTGACAAAGGCCCAAATTTCTGACAGCCAATACAATTTAAAGATTAACTGAAAACAAATTAATTTTAAGATCTGTTTATTATATCCTAATAAAGGTGAATAAGTCATTGTTCTCTGCTGAGTTAAGAATATTCTAAAAAAATATATATCATTAAATGACATTACAAAAAGTACAAAAAATACAATGAATATGTGATTACATGAAACCTAAGAGACTTTATGTTAAAAATGTCTTCGCTTTTTAGTTGCTTAAATGGGATATGGCAAATATAAATAAATAAATTGGTTTTGGCCAATAGGATCAAATGATTTTCAAAGTGAATATTAAATTAAAAACTCATTCCTGAGTACAGAATTTCTTTTTTCCAGTCCAAATAATAATTTTAGGTTTCTTAAAAAAATATATACACACTACTTAACTTATTGACTCCAAGACATTTATCTTCTAATAAATGTGGTTTCCTTTATTTAAAACAATTGTAAGTATACTAAATAGATAAGAAGGCAAAATAATTTATTAATTACTGGCTAATTTAAGCTATTGGCATAGTCTTATAAAATTTCTAATACTTTCATACATCTTAAGTTTAAATAAAAATGACATACAATTTATTTAATATAATTATGCATTTTTTTGCTGTTGAACCCATGAGTATTTCACTAAAACCAAAATTATGCCTCAACTTTGTTGTAGAAATTTTCCTTGTTCCCTGAATCATGTGCTTATCATCATACAATGACCTGTTTTGAAATTGTTAAAATTAGTCGTCACCCCCAATTTTATTGTAAAAATCAGCACTTGCAGTAATGTTAAGCTCTTGGGAGATGTTAAGGAATGATCCCTATGCATTGCTTTCGGCACAAATAATTGTATTGCATATAAATACATCTTTTCTTTTTTCTTTTGAAAGATACAAGTTGTCCATTATGGACGTCCTCGAGTAGTCACAGTCTGTATTTTAGTCACATAACGATCTCAATGTACCCTGAACAAGAATAGTAGTCTCAACGGGGGATCATTGCATGGCCTGAAGTATAATTGTTGGGTGTCACCACTCCAGGATATGCCTTGTATATGATGCAGATATCATAAGGGGAAGTCTCAAAGTCATCTTTCTAAAGAAAATTTTTATTGTTAAAAACTAAATTACTATTCAAAGAAAATAACCTATAGTTTCTATAATTGCAAGATAGTTGCAATGTAAAACCAACAGTATAATGCTAATACATAAACTAGCTATGAAAACACTGAAACCAATGTATCCAAGACAAAAGAAATTATGAACAGCACAACTATAATTTCTTTTTAATTACTACTAATATCCAAGTGAATGGAATTGATAAAGGTAAATCATAGAAATTACACAAATATTTTGAGACAAGTCTTCATAGATTAAAATCAAGTTAAATGAGTGGTTAAACAAGCTTTAACACTGAAACAATGTGATTAGGGAATGGAAAAGTGTTACAAATTATAAATCTATATTGTATTTTGAGCATCTGTAATCAGGTCATTTGTAAAATCCTAAAAATTCTTATATTTTTTATGAATAGAATATCATAAAGTATGAAATATGACTTGATCACACATTGTGTAGCCTACCAGCCAAATTATTATTTTTCAAAATGAATTTACTATAATCAACCTTTTAAAAAAAAAAATTGATAAGGAATGTTTGGGAGGTAAAAGACAATTTTAAAATGAAATGAGTGTTCAATATTATTTTACATATCTAAATTTACAAATATACTTGACCTTAAAAAAAAAAAATTAAAGATTATTAACATTACAGTTTTTTAATGGGAGTCTATATAAATATTGGATGGACTGAACATTTTATCAGTTCAACTATAAAAAAAATAAAATGGTACATGCATTCAAGGTTGATTTATTAAAAGTAACAAATTTGCAGAGCTAAAAAATGGGGTGAAGATTTATATAATAATTAAAAATGAAAAAATGGGAAATCAACACAAAATGTTGGATAATCTCAAGACCATTAATCAGTCATTTGTATAAATAAAAGTTTTCCAAAAACATTTTTTTTAAATAGATGAGATATCTTATTTGCATTTTTTTTTAAAATGATGTGTCTTTGTTTTAAGTACCTAAGTTTTAATCTTTTTAAACAAATTTTGCAACCAAAACACATTTAAATGCAGACATGTTGATAAATATTAATTAAAAGTACACAATATTTAAAATGAATTTTAGAGTTGAAACATATTTTTTAATGAACTTCAACCTTATTTGCACAGTTGACTTATGTTATATTTAAATTATATTAACATTTAATTAAGCAAAAGAGTTTTGATCACACTATACATACTAACATAACAGCATCTATATATAAATGTTTTGTGATATCAACATATAAAACATATTTTTTCTCAATATTATGGTATCGAACTGGCTTAACGAGCTAGTTGCAAAATTTTACACAGTGCTTTGAAAGATGACATGTAACACATTTCAAACTGGGAAATAGTAAAATAGAGCTCTAAAGAGCTAACAGTAATCTCACTGAATCTGATAAATGTTGAACAAATTCCTTTATTACTTGTGTCGTGTATATTAATCAACACTTATAACAATATATATATTTAATAGTCTCTACCAAAAATAGAATATATCTCTGTAATAAAATGTTAGTATAAATGAGTCTCGGACAATGCAAGCCTGACTATGGTCAGTTAATAATTTACCACATTTTTTTCAACATTAGAAAAAAAAAAGGATATTAACAAGACTTTTAAGACAGATGAATTCTATCCAGACAACTTTTATGAGACAATAGTAATTTATAAGCCTATGTCTATGTGACATTTCATTTCAACTTAACTTTTCATTTCAATAGTAAGTGCCCACATTGTAATTGAATTAAGAAATTTTGTGAATTCGGTCATTATAAATGGCAAGTGATTTTGATTTATTGTATCTAAATTTAAGTGTACTTAAAATTTGTTAAAGAAAAGTTTTCACTATGAGGCCGTCTAAATCTATATGTTATGTACGCACAAAATTTTCATTTTCATACACTCACCCTCTTCTTTGCATCCTGTGCATTTTTGGATCAATGCTTGAACTTTGAATTTTTTTTTTAAGAACTAAAAAATATTATTTTACCTTTTTTTTTTTTTTAAACATGTCACTTAGAGTACTCATTTGTGGCCTATTTAAAAATTAAAATGGTTAAATATAATCCTGGTTCAAGAATAAAATAACTAAATTTGTGAAGAATAAAACCATTAAAAAACAAACACAACCTTCTAAAAATTGTTAAATGCAGAAATCAGAATAAAAGTTTTAAGTTTTTGCTTTCAACCGAAACAATGCAAAATTACAGGATATCTGATGATAGGCTTTTAAAGAAATAGATATGTCATTGAGCAAAATGTATTTCCATCTTAAGCAACGTGAGATCTGGTAAGTACAAAATAACTCAATATATATTCACATTGAAATTCTAATTTTGATCATTGTATCAACTTTGTCATCTCAAAACGTCAGTAAAATAACCTACTAATAACAGCGTGAGTGTAGGAAGCTAATGTTTTACATTTAGCAAGTATAAAAGTAAGGTAATGTCAATCAAATATCACGTCACATTTTTCACATCAAATTCATAAAAAAAAAAACAATACTAATAAATAGGATTTTTCGTAAGGTTGAGAAACAATGGAATGAAAAAAGGGCAGTACAAATTATAATTAGTCTATGACATAAAAATGATAGCTTTAAGGAGTTCGCAATGCAATAATTTACATGGGTAGTTTAATAAAACAAATATACAACAATTTTTGCGTCTCAAAAACTTCTATAATTAACTTAGTCACTTCTGAGAAATGTCATCCAACTTTGTGTTAGTCTTATCATTTCAACTGGCCATCTTTTTTAAGAATTGCACGTAGATTGTTGAAGAAACCAGTCATGGATGTTGGTAAAGCAGAGTCCACCAATGCTTTAGGAATCATGCCTTTAATATCAGGTTGAATAAATGTCACCAAGCGGGTACTATCAGGTTTGCTATTCAAATAATAGAATATGATAATTATTTTCAGTTAAATCCAAAGAAATGTACATTATTTAACCTTAACAAATTCAACTGATAAACAAAGAAAGCAGGTCATTTATGCTTCTCCTGGCAAGCTTTAGTCATTATAAAAATAATTGTAATATTGTACCAAGGAATAATAGAATGAGGTTATTGGGCAACCTTCCTTTTGAGTTACAGTCTGTTTCCTTAGAGATTGTCAGCTTGAGCATCAGTGCCCAGATGAAAAAAGATGGTAGCAGTTCTTTGATCAGAATCAGATTTGAAAGAAATGATCAGCAGCATAGATTAATGGCAATCTGCTATTCTTAAGTCTGACGATGATATCCCATGATACCAGGTGTGAACATACAATTAATGTCTATCATTCAAGAGCAGGGTTAGTCTTCCACAGGTATCTTTTGATTGGTTAACTCCTGTTTTTGAGCCCAGACTTGAGACTTACGGTTATGTAGTGAGGGAAAGACAACTTTAACTGGAGATGGAGACTAGAGAGGGAGACAAGACAGAGCGTAAAGTGGACTAATAAAGTAGTTGAGTAGTGTAGTAAGTAAGTAGAAAAGAGCATTTGTAACATTCCTCTTAATTTTATACCTAATATGTCTAAATAAAGAGAAGAGTATTAAGAAAAAAAAAACAGTGTTTGTTTAAGCAGATGACAGAAGAAAGATAAGAGTTAGCAACATTCTCTACAAACGGTTGCAGAGGTGGGGTGGTAGGTGACCTTACGATTTCTCTGAAGAGGAAATGTTTTTTTTAATGTCATCGGTATTTATATGCCCTTTTGATTTGATTTAAAATTGAAAATTTCATTGCGGTCTTCAGTCTGGATGTCATCTTAATTACATCAAGGATGACTATTTGAAGGATCAACCAAGTAAGTGTTGTAATTCTTGCATGAGGAAATTCATGGAGCGGATCTTGCGTTGAGTCTACCACCAGTGACCCATTACCGGCCACAGCTGCGTGAAAAATTACAATGACAGCTTAAAGCAAATGTAGAATTTCATAAATCAGATGGCCTAACATAAGCTTTGACTTATCCAAATTATATCCAGGCGAACACGGGCCTCGCTTCTGAAAAAATTTCCCAATACCTACGTTATTTCTGAATAATGCTAGGCTGAGTGTCAGAAATGATTGCTGTGTTATACATTTCAGAAAGGTTTTCAGAAAGGAGGAACTATTCAAACCATTTTTGTAGGTTAATAAGTGCTGGTTTTATCCAGTTGAAAGGATTAGAAATTAAGAATAATGGAACTGTAAACTACCTGAATAACAAACATGTATTAGTCAATTTATGCCAACTGTCTCGGCTGGAATAAAATGAAATGTGTCAGAGTAATTTACCATAATTGTTTTTTTTAAAATTATAATGATAATGATGTGCCAGACTGGATTTTAAAGTTGCATAATATACTTGGTGTTGCTCCAGGGCTTCCAAGTGTTTTTTTACTGTCATGTTAGAAGGTGTGTCACAGACAGTTTAGACCCATAATTTAACTGTTACTTTAACTTATGAGAAAATTTTAATGCTCTTTGAGAGCAAATGGTAGAATTTTTATGTCTGTGTTGGAACAAATTATTACAAACAACTGTTGCTAGCACTTGATTCTGATTGACTCTTTTTTTTATTCATCACATGCGCTGATTTTGATTTTTAAATGCCATTATTTTCATTTTTTAAATGTATTGTGTTGTTATTGACTTTGCAAGTAAGAAAGAAAGGTTTCCCTACAATACTCTGACACGGCAATGTGCGCTAATGTTGTCAGGGTAGTCTGAAAATAAATTGTAAGAATGTTCGCTTCATTGGATTTATTTAATTTAATAATATTAATATTATTTATTGTACAGCCAATACAAGGAGTAAATTCATAATAAGGTCCAGATAAGTTAACCCTAAACAATCACACATTTAAAGAAGTGACACAAAAAAAGGATCTGGGTAGTTAAGATATCTATGGTATAACTGTGAGCTTTCCCAATTTACGACATTGAAATACTAGGTCCTATTACTCTGTGTAGATAAGCAAATCTGTATAACAGTGACCTGGTTAGGTCTTAAGCTTGTCTTGCTTAGTGCATAACTTATAGTTACTGGTAACTTCTATTATCATCCCTTTAAGATCTTTATTACTGAACAGCAGTCTCAAATTAAGAACTGGGTCAGTGTTTTAACCAATATGATTAGATGAGGAAAATGTATCTGCTGGCATTTGCAAAGCGAGAAAACCAGATTTTTGTCCCAACAGAGTGATGACAAATTCTGGTTTATATGAATTTGTGTTAGAAGGCAAAAATAAAATGTCTGTCATAATTGTATTCATTATCATTAATAAAAGTAATCTATATGAATCTTTAAAAAAGAAAAGATTAAAAAAATAAATTAGGGCTTACTCAGGTGCAGAAATGCACATCATCCCACAAGGATAGTTCCATCCTCTAACAAAGTCATGCTCAGGTGGACACTCTTCATATTCAATACTAGTACCTGGAATTTGGGTTATATATAGGCGTATAATTGGCAGAGTTTGGAGGTCTTATCTTAATTAAAAGCTTATTCATCCCGTAAGAACTTTGAAAATCTGCCCGAACTTATCTCATAATTAAATGATTATTTCTTTAAATGGAATTATAAATAAAGAGTATGTACCATTGGTTGATATAAAGTCTTTTGATTTTATTGTCATGATGGCATCAATGAAGTCTCTTGGTGATATAAGGCCCATAGCTGCACTGTTTGTCATAGATCTTATAATTCGTATATCCTGAAATAGATAAATTTTGTTGCTTAAATTAGAGCATGACAATGACATAAGCTTGCTTCAAACATGCTGAAATTATCAAATGAGCTGATACAACAAGTATACTAAAAGAAGAATATAATTTAAAAAATATTTTTATGAGGTCTTGTGGGAGAAATAAAAGCCAAACTGACATTTCTAATTGATGGCATACATAGATTTGGGCTAATGGGGAGATCGCCCCAGGCAGCATTTATGCATGGTACGCCTACAACAGACATTCTCAAACAAAAATTGACTAAGTTCATTCATTTCATCATCAATTAATGATTTCATCAAATAAGTAGCTTACAAATGTCCTCTCTTATATAATATCCCATCCTGTCCAACTAATGATAGTTATTTGCTATGTGGAATTAGTTTACAAGTAAAGAATAAAAAAGGGATTGCTGGGTGGTCCAGAGGTTTAAACTGAGTCAGTCCCAAGCTTGAGGACTGGAGTTCTAGACAACCAAAACAACACCAGCGCAATGAGTGGATGGGACTCAAAATTCTAAGAGAAGGCAAACTCTTAAATTAAACCTGGAGAAGGAGTCCCTTAGGTGCTATGACTCTGTTGCAAATGAAAATTCCGAAAAACTCCTGTGATATGAGAAGCATAAGAGCACATTGAGACCCAAGAAACACTGCTGGTTATCCACTGCATCCTGGTCTATTTGCAGTTGTTTTGACTATGTCTTGCCATTGACGAACTGAGCAACTCTACTTCACTTTAAACATAATGCAGCTCAAGTGAAGGCTACTACTCAAGTTGAAGCCTTGCTCTTCTTTGCACTCGATGGCCGAACAAAAAACTTTCAGAATGAAAGTGTTAGCGACATACATGTTTTGAACAACCAGTAAACGTTTATTTCATAAACCCAATACATCAGGATGATTAAAAAATATTTTTTTATTATAATATGAACATGAAATGCTAAACAACAACTAAATTATTTGAAAGAGATCTGCATAAATCTTAAAGAGCCCTAAGAAATTATTTTTACTTACAGGTGTAACTTGCTTGAGAAGCTGGATACCTCTTATATCTTTATCCCATTTCCTTCTAAGGCAGTCATTGTCTGTTGGGTCAATGTAATCAAAAAGTATCTCTTTGGAGCAGTTGTATTCAGTTTGTCCTCTGTAACTGTAATGGTCAGAGAAGAGTGTGTTTACAAACCAAAAGTAATTTAAGTGACATTTAGTAATATTTTAGCCATGTAGTTACTGAAACCCCAGAGGAAAACAACTCAAAGGCAGACCTAGGCTTAGATGAACGGATGATGAGGAAAAAGATATACAGCAGCTGGGTAAAGAAAAGCATCCATTAGGTCTGAGTGGAAGGAAGTGGTGAGGCAGGCCAAAGTCCAACATGGGCTGGAGCAACACAAGGATGGATGGATAGTTACCATAAATATGTTAAATGTACAGCCAAGAAAGAGTCTACCAGTTACCATTTAAAAAAAAAAGTTATCCCATAAAGCTAATTGCTAATGCAGCTGGGAAGTTGATATGATCAACTATCAACACACACACTCAAAAATAACATTTTCCCCTTATAAAATGCACTCTTCAGCAAATACGCATGGCTATCAGTAACATTTTAATTTTTTGCATCTCTTGAATAACTAGTTTATCCTCCATTTAACACAATAATGAAAAAACTCTACAAAGCAAAAACAAAAAAAATATTTTAAAATAAAGGATGAAAAATATTTAGTTGTATTTTTTTATACTCAGGAAGATGATACTAATTTCCTTTCTAAGTATAGATAGCTTCCCCTTAAATACTTTTCACTAAATAATCCTCTTGAGGGCAATGTTATCTCTCAGCAGCGGTAACTTGTTCAGAGTTATCTCAAAGATTTGATAAAATTTCATCCATAAAGCCAATCCAAACTGTTCAAAAGCTTTGATTAACAAGTTATTTATGCCCTCTGGTTTTTATATCTTTAAGGGGGAAGGAGGAGACTCTTTTAACAAAATTTTCATTGCTCAAGTAAATGCTTATAAAACTTAATCCTTTTAACCTCATTTTGTTGCTTCTTAACAGTCTGAACATGAAACTTACAGATAACCATGCTCAAATCCTGGGCACTTGGAATGTTTGTATTCAACAATGATGTCTTTCTGAAATATGAGAAAAATGGTGAAAACAAAATTAAACTATTTTTTCATAAATGGTTTGTATTTATTAATATCTTTCCAGTTGGAAAAATATCATCATCAGTACTTAGAGATGTCTTTAGTATGTTAGATGGAACAGGTGTAACTACCCTGAGATAAAGAAATTATCAGAGATAAACTTGACATTTAGTGCAGAGAGACTGAAAATTAGATCAGTCTTTCCCTCCTTCGTCATTACTAGCTCAGTTGGCAACCCACTAATTGATGCTGTCCACTTTTGTTGTACAGCGAAAATTTGAAAGGGTTTATCTTATGATTTAATTATAACAGTATTAGTTATTTTTAGCTTTTTACTTGATTAGCCTACATATGCAATTGATCTTGACAATGCCATTTATTCAATAACAATATAAAAATATGTTTAATAATAAAACACTATTAATAATTGGGGTTGTATACTTATTGTATGGTTTACACTACTCTTACTGTAAATCTTTAAATACCAAGAGCTAATTTACAAATATGTAATTTAAATGCAGAAATCATTTGATGTTGATTTACACGTGAAACAAATTGCTCTTAAGAAGTCAAGGGGAGTAAGACAAAAAGGGTCTTGTTTAGTTGTTAGTTAATTTTTTTTTTTATTACTAAGCTCATGGAATGTTTTTGATTGATGAATTTTTAAAATTTATATTTCATTTTGAAGGTAAATATCATATTTCAAGACCAGGCTATTTTTTTTTTTGGGGGGGGGGGTCTGAAATCTGATCATTTTGAAAAATAGATGTTGACTAATGTCTACTAAGGACATATTTTGGATTGTATTTTTGGTTGGAACCTGTAAATTTAGGTGGAACCTGTAAATAAAGTGTGTAAAAGTGATATTTTTGTGATAAAGTTGTATTTTTATTATTTACAAAATATTTAGTATTGTTTTTCTTTATTTTACACTTTTCTCACTACATTGTGTAACTAACCGTAGTACACATGTTTTAGTTAAGGGAAGGGAAGGGAACGACCGCAGAATGTTGACACTTCTTGCAGCGTATCTAGAGGTATACAATAAAGTTGCTACATTGGCCACTGACAAAATATGTCGCTAATTTTAATTTTTTTTAACTATTCTGTTCTCATAATTTTGTTATTTACTGAAAAACACTGTCTCCCTTTTCCCTTCCGATTTCTTATGTTGTGTTACATACATTTTTGACATGTCTGCTGTTGTGACAATAGAAAATTACATAATTTAGGCCAGCCACTTGCCAGGCTACAAGCCTAATAGCCGCATATAATTGGTGATGCAATTGTTTGCATCTAATGCCCTATTTAAATTTATGCATTTTTTAAAAGTCCAACCTCTTCATCATCATAATTATCACCTGAAAAAAACCAAAGAAAACAAAGAAAAGAAAAAGAAAGAAACAAAATTTATCTCTATTGAATTGCTGTTTTGCATAGGACGGTGTTCAGCAAGCCACACTAACCAAAGCATGCTGTCATAACACAGTGCCTTTGGCGCTGTGTGGTTAGTTTGCTGAATGTTTCTTGGAAAAAACATTATTGAACAGGCATTAGCGGCCTGCCGGCCGGCCATGGTACTATTTATTTTATATTATTACAAGCAATAATCAGTCTGCAAACAAAATGAGAAGTAAGCAATTAAAATTTACATCAGCAATTATCTGCAGCTATTACTATTAGGCTGACAGTTGGGGCTGGGCACTTTCAAACAAAAAGTATTCTATTTGACATTACAGACCGCTGTTCTGAGGAGTTACTAGGCCTATTAATATAAAAATTTAATAAACGGAAAATAACTTAGGGTCCAAAAATAAAAAGAAGCTAATTTTTAAAAATAAAAAATGGACTCTGACCATGGAAAATTATTTAGTACATAACCGGAGTCATAACCTTTTATAAGTTAGACATAAGCTATAGACTGACTGATGAAAACTCCTCTCAACCCCAACGTGGAAGCAGAGCAGGCCTAATGCTAATAGTATAGACTAATTTTAATTCCCTAATTAAGTTAAACTTCAACTAGGCTTAGGCTAATAGAATATAAAATATAACACAACACTTTATTTTGAATTATTATTATTGTCGACTCACAGTTTTTTTCGCAGTATGCCAACCATTATTATCAGTTAAATATTCCCGTAGGGTTTCTACAGTTTTCTGACCTATTTCTTGCAAATATTCTAAAGTCGGCATTTTGTTGTTTCCAAATATGTTATTTTCCCCGTGATGAATAGGCCCACAACAACCCCGGTCACAAGCTTAATTGTTTACAAGCAGCAACGCAGAACGATGCTACTTTTATATGACAGTAAAAAAAAAAACTTAAAATAGGTCATGTGACCAAGGCGGTGTAATTTTTCTAGAGTGACCCTTCAACACAGGGTTTGATTAAGTCTCACACCCCCAAGCCCCTTCAAAGTAAAAATGTATATTGTATTAGGAAAACTGGAGTCTCACTTTAAAAAATAAAATTTTGATTTAAAATACATAAAGTAACATTAACCAATAGACCTACATTTAAATTAAATCCTGCACTCAATTGCCAAACTGCGAGAATAATACTTTTTTTTTTTTTTACAGGTCTTATTGACGTATGACGTATGGCAAGGGGCAATCCATAATGAAAACCATAATCATAGTCTTCATATTCCATTTAAATTTATGGCATGTTACAAACAAGTGTCAAGTTTATGGGCATAGACTTTGATGTTTTTAGACGCAAACACCCCCCCCCCCCCACCCTAAACCTTTTCCTCTTTTAAATGTGTGAATTCAATCCTACTTTTTTTTTCTCTCTAATCGTTTAATTATTTGCACTTAAACTTTTTAGAATTTTTTTTCGTTCTCTGTTACTGATCACTAGGTTAAAAATAGTATAGAGTGATTATAGAGCACTGCCTTATATTCATTTTTTGTGTGAAATTTAGCTTTTGTGGATATGTTGCCATGTGCACAATGGTAAATGTAGCTTTTTTTTTTTTGCCATCTCATATGGCATGGTTATAAAGCAAAACACTTACACACATTAGTTTAAAACACGAAGTTACATAATGAAATGGTTTTAGCATTAGCAACTTGTTCACTCCTGGGGCTGTTTCATGTTGATACTAATCTCTTTCAGATACAAAAACTAGACAACTTGTTTGCACTGGAATATTAATCATGTGACTTAGGGGCCGTCCATAAAGTACGTCACGCACCAGAGGGGGGAGGGGGTGTAAGAAAGTGTGACAGTTTGTGACATGGGGGAGGGGTGTCAGGCCATGTGTGGCGTCACACATTTAAAAAAAAAAATCATTTCTAATTTATTTTTTAATTTTTCTTTTAGTAGAATTTAATAGCTTTAAAAATAATTTTCAAAAATTTCGTGAAACATTCGAATTAGTTTTATGTCAAAATAGCATGAAATGGCTATCTCCTGAATGTGTTGTTCACGATTCCTCTCGATAGGAGCGCTAGTATGCTGTTGCGAAGCCTTGTTTTATGTATAGCCTTGCTTTCGTCATGCCTGAAGTATTATTATTTCTATGTTGTCCGCTGTCACTGTCCTTTTTATTATTTAATCACTGGGTGAGGTCAAGTTTCGCTAATCTGAATCTTCTTTTAATCCTGCGTAAAAAGATTGCATAATCGGAAGATTATCTAAAACTTGACCTCACCTATTGTAAATGAAAAAGCAGCAGATAAATGATGTGTATTATATAATAGTCTATTCTAATTTTTGCAATTTTTGTTTTCAAATTCAATCTAGATTGAGTTACTGCTTCAATGAATAAGTGTGATAACTGTTGACAATTAACTATTCTACTATTAAAGTCATTTTAATAATATTATAATAATGTGATAGTTCTTTTAAGTGGAAATTTTATATTTTGATACAGTTTAATAGTGAAGTGTGTTTTAGATTAAATTTTAATTAGGTGTTAATTAAAAAAAAAAAAATTGTTCGAAAGTGTGACGTACTTAAATTAAAGGGGGGGGGGTGTCCGAGATTTGTGACATTTTGTGACAGGGGGCAGTCTCAAAAATGGTCAAAAATAGCGTGACGTACTTTATGGACGGCCCCTTATATAAAAGATAGACACAAAGACTAAGATATCAATGAAAAGTATAGTGAATGTAGGTCTACTTTCCATAAATTTACTTTGATATAATTTATATATAAATGTAGATATTTTTATTTTGGACAACACCACAGATAAAATAGATATGAAAAATAAAGAATTCATGAGTCAAATTGCTAATCCCGTATTATATTTAGAAAAATTGTTTCATAGTAATTCAGTAATAGTTTGAGTATGATCAGAGTCTTAGTGCAATTGAAAATCCTTTTCTAATGATGTATATTGTGTCAGCGAGATACAACTGTCTAGATGCCTAAAAAGACATAAATGATAATTGGTTGAAGAATAAAATCTGAAGACCAATTTGCTTTGGTTTTATGTTTCAAAAGTCTTGATTGCCAGTGAAGAGTCAATATCAATATCAGGATGATATTGATGGTCTGTTGTTGAACCAAAGTAATATGTAAAGATGTTCATTAATTTTACAGCTGACATGGTCATGGTTCATAAAAAGAATGTTCTGATAACTTAGTAGTAACATACTCTCAATAGTTCCACCTGACTTTCAATCTGATCTGAACTTCATCACCATTTCATCCATAGACAATAGAAACTACCATAGTAATAGGGAATAATTATATATAGTATTCCTGGAATTGGGTGCTCATACACTTCAATAATGATTTTAGTTATGTTGACTCTTAGTTAAACATTCATTTTTTTTTTTACATAGTAGCAAGATATTTAGTCATGAAATTTTTTGACAATAATTTCTGGCATGTCATGAGAATTAGATTCATGTTAACACGAGTCAAAACAAAAATTTACGGAGATGTTTTGAAAGCCGCTGACGAAATGACCGACCCCCCCACTTTTCATAAATATAAAACATTCTCATAATACATTTAATTAATATAAAAATTGCATATTTTGTTAGATAAAGAGTTAAACTTTAATCTCATATTAATTTTATGTTTAGAATTAGTACAAGTGAGTTAAAAATCCATCTCAAAAACAATAAAAATAGGGGAAAAGGACGATTTTCCTGGTTTAGACTACATGTTAACATAGTGAGTGGGCTAAGAATTTTCAAAATTCCTATCTTGTTACAAATTCATAATTTTGTAACACCAAGTAGCAAGTTCTTTGGTCATGATTGACGTTTTTGGACACACAATATCTGGCACTGACATGTCATCCGAATTAGACATCTGCTCTATCTTGAAGTTTGTCTGGAGAAGATTCAGGTTAACACGATGCTTTGATGTTTCTAAAATTATCTGATTTTCTGGCTGGTTTCAATTTTTGTCATTGTGTAGGTAGAAAAGTCAAGCTATTTAGCTATTATTTCAAATAGGTCCTTCGCTTTACTTAGACTAAGATTAATGGTAGTATTCATTGCACCTTGATGTCATATATGTAGTCTCCTAATCAAATTACATTTTTTAAAGTACCTTAACAGCTAATTAAAAAGTTTGTATTAAAAAACTAGTAAAACCCCTAGCATTTTTATCAAGTAATTTTATTTATTCTTCTACCATATATACAGCCAAGAGATGGACACAAGTAAATATTGCGATTCACATGGTATGTCGTGTGAGGCTTTGAAATGTTTAATGAGTGCATCTAAACATTGTTTCTAAGTTTAAATAACCAGTAGTAACCACCATAAATAAAATGTAAGCAAAAGAAGGCTAACACTTAAAATTAAATAATAAGTAGAACTCACCTAATATTAGGAAACCAAGAGAAAAAATAGATGTTGAGTAACTAATTGTTTAATAAATATTTACACATATGTTAGCAGTTTCTGTTTACACAATGCTCTGGTATGTGAAATAAATAGCTGGACAATATCGGTACACTTACATTTTCTGAATAATAATTTAACAGTGTCCTCATGATAATTTATAAAAAAAATAGATGTACATGATATTTAAAAGAGTATGATTCCACAATTTGTATTATCTTCAAATAGTGTTCAAACTCTTTAGTTTCAGTATTGGAATTTCATTGTAGGCCCAATTCCAATAATCATTCAAAACGTCATTAAATACATAACTTGAATGATAAGCTTAATTAACTATAAAACAATAGTATTTTTGTGACATTCTTTTAAGCCTATGATAATTAGGTAAACATAATGATAATGAGAACAAAAATGTATTACTTTCAAGCATGGGCGCCCGCAGAAAACTTTCTTTGGTGTGGGGGGGGGGGCAAATTTTTTTTTAGTAATCTTTTAATGTAGTTTTAATTTACTGTAGCGTATTTGTATAGTGAACGAAGGGACAGGACATCAGCTTAGTTACTTTCTCTTTACTTTAATACATTTTTTGTCTATTTTTGTCTAAAAAATTTTTGTCCAATCAATCCAGGTAAAGGGGGGGGGGCCCAGAGGGGGCAAGGCCCCCTTGGCGCCCATGCTTTCAAGGGTGTTAATTATAAACGATTCAGTAATAAAATATTTTGTAAAAACCAAACAGAACTTGCATTTCACATTCATTTTAATATGAAATGGTATGAGCCAATACTTAAAGTAATTTTGAAATAATAACTGTAAATGTTACTTAACGTCAAAAATTTTTTTTAAAAGGATGAGGTTGCACATTAACAAAGACAATCCTTTTAGCGTTGGAAGCAAACCATTTCTTGACAGCTCGCACAGGATCCATGATATCCATGAAAGCTGCTTTAATTAAATAAAATTACAAATATGATTTGTTGATGAGTTAAATTAATTAGATCCTTGTTGATTCAAACTGGACTATAAGTTTGCTGAATGACTTATGACCCATGATTTTATCAACTGATGTGCAATGGCCTGACTAGGTGGCACGAAAATACCATCTGGGTGCAGTTGGGCTAACATCTGGGCAACTTCAGAATGTGAAAACCACCTTGCCTCTTCCAGTTCATCTTTGTCTATCTATAACAATATAATAGTGGAATAAAAAATATCAGGTATTTTTCTTGTTTAAAATATTTTTTTTTAATCAAAAACTTTATTTTGCTAATAAGATCATCAGTTTTGGTCTTCACAATTTATAGATTTAAAATGATTTCAAAGGAAATGATTATTTTTTTATTTATTAAAGGCATCATTGTTATTGATTTTTATATACCATACCAGTGCCGGTAATTTAATGATAATGAAATAAGAAACAATTTTTTACCAGTACTTTATTAACAAAATTAGAGAAGATAATACTGTGCACAAATAATTTTTTGAGATAATTTTCATATTGATTAATAATGCACTAACAAATGAAAACATAAAAATAAACCAATAATAAATTTTACCACAATTGTATCTGTTCTAGCGTGAGCAATGCAGCCAAGCATCAGAGTTGCTGGGAAAGGCCATGGTTGACTTGAATGATAATCTACTCTCCCAACTTTTATACCACTTTCCTCTTCAATTTCTCGCCGACAAGTGTCTTCTATAGATTCACCTGAAGAAATTTTTTTTTAAATTTAAGTTACTAACATATTAAATACTCCACAAATAAGTCAGTGTTTTTAAGAATTAGCATTCTGGATTATTCATAATTTAAATTTACCAGTTTCTAAGAATCCAGAGCAAAGGCAAAATTACAAATCTATTTAGCTAATGTTTATAATTTTTTATACTGGGAGAATTGAAAAATAAAGTTTTGTCATTGTAAAGTTTAATGAAAATGAGAAAATTTTAAGAAAAAATTCTAAAATTTTATTTTAGATTAAAAAAACAAAATTAATCAATCTGTTTTTTTTTTTAAAAATCAAACAACTTCAATTACAAGTATCCAATATTTAAAAAATATACCCTAACCTGGTTCCATAAATCCTGCTAAACAAGAAAACATCTTAGGAGGAAATCGTTTTTGTCTTCCAAGCAAACAACGCTTTTTGTCAGGTGACAAAACTAACATAATAAGGGATGGATCAACACGGGGGTAACAGGTATTGTGTACACCTGTAAGATTTAAGAACAAAAAAATTAAATACAAATTAACAGTCATTTTGTTTATAAAAGTATCATCCCAAAAAATAGTAAAACTAGTGGAATACCCACCTTTTCCTGACAGTCCTTTATTCCTCCTGACAATGGGTAAAATTAAAAACCTATGCATAAATTTCTTGTAAATTAAGAATCTGATAATTAAAAATACAATAACTATTTAATACTGCAGTACCTGGTAAATTTAATATGATTGCATTAGGCATTTTTTAAAATTACACTTAACCCACGAACTGTCCATTATATTATTCTGTACTGTGTAGGCAATTTAGTTTTTTGGCTGCCTTTGAAACATGTGATTTTTGACATGCAGATACTATATAGCTAGACCATATAAAGTATATATTTATTGAAATTTGAATGAGTGAGGAATCATATTGGCTATTTTTTAATATTTTAAACTCTGTGACCTTGGAGTGGCCAAGAATAAAGAAAATAATGAAATTTTTTCTTTTCAAATACCTCAAACTACAATTTTTTGAAGGCATATTTTTATGTTTTTATAATATGATAGCCTTTTTTATTTATCTTTCAGAAAATGTATTATTTGTATATGTTTTAGTTTTTAATCGATTTTTTAAAAAGAATTCTTCTGATACCTATGGTTACGTTCAAGTAACAAAGCTCGACATAAACAATATAAACATTACTAAATAGCAAGAAACAGATACAATTTAAAAAGCTGCTATATAAATATTTAACCCATAAAATGAAATATAAGAAAACATAGATATAACTCCACAGTTTAAAAAAAGGACACAGAAGAATGAAAAACGGAAGTTCATTTATTAATAAAAGGAAGTAGTCTTATTTACTGTAGAATATGGGACTGGAACTTTTTCTTTCAACACCATTTTTATCGACCGAAGCAGGATGGGAAGAGAAAATGGGCCGATTTAATCGGCTGACGACAGTTCGTGGGATAAGCTGAACACAACTTTTATTTTACTTAATGAAATGTTATGTTGGTATACTAAGTGGCTTTATGCCTGAATTGGATAAATGAATAAAATGTTTTAAAATATAATATGAAAGCTTATATAACTGCAGTACCCTCAGAAATAGGTTAGGTCTTTATTTATTCTACAGATATCTTGACATATAGTAATTAGACAAATAAAAACTTTATGTTAAGGCCTATAGTTTTAATAAATAATGTACCTTTGTGACTAGAGCAATCTGGATTATTGCAAATTTGTTTGTATCCTCCCTCAGCCACTGTCTGTTTACTCCCACAAGTAGGACAGTATCTGAATTTGGAAAAAAGAATGATAACGAGATGGAATATAAAGAATTAAAAATGGATTATTAGAGAATATCTAAGATACTGAAAAAGCATTAAAAGTTACAAAGATTTTTTAACAAGAGAAATGGTTTTCAAAGCTGCCTAGAGTGATTATTAAAATAAAAGAGTTAAACCCTACTTGTAACGATCCAACCAACACAATATGGAATGAGCTTCTGCAAAAATCCCTGCATGAGTGGCAGTCATTTGCATTGTTGTTGGAAATGGGACAACAAACTTGCCATCGGGATAGTACTGCATTCAAAAGATATTAATTTTTTCAAAGATTATTATGTTATGACATAGATATGCATCAGTGTGTAAAAGATTATACACATTGGCAGTAACTGCATTTTTAATATTTAGTATACTGGTAATTCAAAATTTAAGCAAACAAAACAAAAAAAACTTAACGATACAGTTAACCATTTAAAAAAAAATCTAGCAACAGTTCATCAAAAATATATTTATTTAAAAATCTTAATCATCAACTGTATTGGTAGGAAGTACTTGCATTCAAGCAATCAACAAACACAAACCTTAGAGGTAAACGTGGCGTCTTCTTGTCTTAATTCAACAGCAAACCACGGACTTGAGTCAGGATCCCAAGTCTCTAATCCCAAAAAAATCACAGTTGTTTTATCAGAGAAATTGGCAGGGAGCTGATCAAGGTTAAAAACAGCAAATCTATAGCGGAATACAAAAATAATTATTTTTAGAAATAGAGTTTTTAAAAAACAAACATCTTCATTTATTAAATTCTGTTTTAAAAGAAAAGAAACATCTTAATTTATTAAATTCTGTTGTATTTTTTTACCTTTAAATTATCTTGGATGTAATAAAATTTACCATGTGTTTCAGAAGTACATAATTATTGGTTCTGTCTTTGAAAGATTCCAAAGTGCTGCTAGGTGATGAAGTAAGACAATGACTTAATCTATCTTTTAATAGGTATCGTAGCATTTAAATTAAATCGTAAAATTTAAAGCAGTAAAAATTGTTTAAGTCTGAAATTATTACTTGAACTTGCGTTTCTTCTCCAAAGATTCTAATAAATAAGGCTCTGAATTTAAAAAGACAACAAATTTAGCTGAAGGGTTCTTTTTAGCAGTCTCTAACGCTGAAGGATCTTTACGAAGGTCTGAAGCTCTGTATAAAGGGTTAAGGGAATAGTAGTTGTGGATTTGATCAAATTCAACCAGCTGTCGATGTTGGGACAAAATTGCTACTGCCTCTTTGTAATTCCAAAACTGTGCAATATCTAAGGCCGTCTGTCCTGAGGCATTCAAACAATTCACATCACATCTGTCGAAAAAATTAAGTATTTTTACTAGCAGTTGAGGTCACACCTTTAAAAAAGTAACAACATACATTTTTTGTGCGTGTTTAGCTATGAAATGCTAAATGCTTTCTACATTTAATAGTTTTAATCTTGCTAAGATTCTTAGTGCCTTAAAACTAGCTTTTGGTTTTTAAGCTAATTCAAACAAAAAATTTTAAATGATAATATTTGTTTAGCCTTAATGCCAGAGAAATTAATTAGTATTTTTTTATTTTAACATAATGTTTAAACTTTCTTCATAAAAATGTACCCTTTCTCAATTAAAGAAGATATAATAGGTGTGTGTCCATTTCTAGCAGCAAACATTAAAGCTGTCCATCCTCTATCACTCTTAATATCAATATCCACAACACCTGGGGATGGAATAAAAAACAATAAAATAGTCTAATATAAGGGGGATTTTTGGTGAAAAAACATTTTTTGCCACAAGCATTGCATGTTTTGTTTCGCCGAGAAAGGAATTCAACAAAAAAAAAGTGAAACTATTACATTAAAAATATTAAAATATTATGCAAGCCTGAAGAAATGTGGGTTCAATGACAATAAACTATAAAATCCTGATTTGCGATAGCAAGACTTTAAAGGCAATACCATTTTTTAAATCTGTAGGTCAATAAGCCACACATAAAAATTTGAAAATACACCACCTGTTTTTCTTTAATATTTTAGGGAAATAACACTAAAGAATGCACACATGATCATAAGATCTACGTAAGCAAATGTTTATTTATTTCACAAATTTAAGTCTCATTTAAAGGGGTCATTTTATTATTACTGGTATTTTTTTTATTTTAGTACAACAGCTGTAAAAATTTAGAAGCCTCACCTAGCAGCACTTTGAAATCTTCCAAATCCCCACGTGCTGCACAATCCAGAAATCGTTGATTTAACTGTTTTTTATCTTCACTATCTTGGAAATTTCCTTGTCCACTCATGTTTCTGAAGAAGAATGAAAAGCGTAAAATTTACAAATAATAATTTATTAGATATAAAATTGAAACTATCAACAATATAAATGTAGCGCTACAAAAGTATTCTGAAAGTTTGAAAAAAGTAAGACAATGACTTAATTATATTTCCTTTTTTTATTTTAAATATCTTTCTAGAAAGTAGGGTACCGTAGCTTTTGAAATTGTTAATTATGTTTTATTTAATGTAGCTTTTACGAAAGGGAAGCTATGCTACTTTATTCTTTTTGACAAAGAAGATTATTTTAAAGGTATTTAAATTCAAATAAAAGTTATTTTAATTTTAATAATCAGCTTAATTAATGTTCCAGCTCAAAAAGGACAAGTGTGAGAGATAAGTAGAATGCCAGCTCGTTCAAGGGTAAAGTAAAACCAAATTATCATAATTTTTTAATGTAAAAATTTTGTTTTTAAAAAGTAATGCTTGACAATCCACTTGACCTCACTGAAACTTGTGCAGTTCCATCAAAATTGTATCTGTTTTTGAAATTCTTTGACATTAAGTGTGTTGATCCTTTCAGTAGAAATACCCTTGTAGAGATGTTTAAGCTCACCGTGGCAGCAACAGAGGGATCTTCAGTGGATGATATTACTGTGTTCTTGGTCAAGTTATGCTTTAACTTTAAGTAATGTTTGATGCCAATAATGTCATGACAATCAACTGGATCATGAATTTTTCTTTTAGCTTTTCTGTGAGTCAAGGTAGATGCGTAACTAGTAATCTGCTGATGTTTTGTTTCAGACAAACTTAGGACAGTATGCCTTTGTGCTGAGTTTAAAGCTATTTTCCCAATTAATAGCTTACTAATGAAGGAATACATGTAAGGAGGTGTGGGTCTCACTGGATCAAAAAGATTTGAATTTTTACATGAGCCTGAAACTCTGCATGTACTTGCTTCAGATGTATTTAATGTATATGCCTAGGTCTACAGTTTTTTCCTAGGTCTACTGTTTGTAGTTGTTTTTTTTAAATATTTTTGGTGACTGGTGGATAAATTATTGCATGTGATTTAGTGCCAGAGATCTGAAAATAAATGTTATTATTAATGCCCAGCTTTAATTAAACTTAAATATGAGTATTTGACTCAAAGCTTCTTTTTGTTTGCTTGGTAAAAACTAATTCGCAAGTTATAAACTTAGTAACTTTTACTTTAAAGTAAAATTCAAAAGTGTAACTTAGCTTCCCTAAAGAAAAGTTATTTTAGACTTAACAAGTTTAGTTTGTAAATTGACTGTGACAGTTGTTATTAGTTAAATTAAAAATCTATATAAATAGTTGATTGAATAGACCTAGCTTTGTTCAATTACATTGAATTAAAATTGCTTAACATTAGGCCTTCTAATATTAATAATGCTTAATATTAGACCTCCTAACATTAATAATTAATGTTACAAAAAATCTAATACATATAATTATTTAGGTATGAAAGAAAGTATAGTGTAATGGTGAATTCAATAGCACGCAAAATAAAATTACAGATAAATGTGCTAAAAGATATTCTTAAAAATGCTGGAAGTGCATTTGGCGTGTTATATTTCCTTTTGTTTTCTGGAAATAGTCTCAACTTAAATATGATAATTATAAATCTGCAGAGTAAAAAGGGGATGAGACATTAGATTTTTAATATGGGGCATGAAAAAAGGTGCTGTGGGTTACCTATGGGGGGAGTTCCATACTAACTGGGGACTCTAATAAAGTGCTTTACTTGAATGCATGTTTTGTAAGTAACTTTAGTAGATGGGAAATTCCCATCTTATCCATTTTATAGCGGGCTATATTTCGTAAGTAATAATAGAATTATTCAATAAGGATTAGATATACTATGCTATGCAATGATACTATGCTGCATAGGTTAGTAAGTCGTGCTTCACAAACTCCACCATGGCTGATCCCAAGCTCTGGTGTAAAAGAAAGAGGGTTAGCAAGAGGCCAGCTACTTCGCTTGTAAAAAAAAAATTGCTACAGAAACACCAACAAGAAGAGAACAAAAAAATTTCAGCCCTGATAAGAGAGGGCTCTTCCTCCCCCAGAAGAGCTATGAAGCCTTGTGGCCAAAGCTAGATTATACTGGAAGCCTCAAAGCAGAGGATCCTCCTTTCAAAGGCAATAAGCATAGGCAAATGGAATGTTAGAACCCTGTACAAAACAAAAAAATGAGCACAAGTGGCAGCAGAAATGAGAATATAAAAGCTCACGCTGCTTTGGATCTATGAAACAAGATGGACACAAGCTGGATAATTAAAATTGGGATCAGGTGAAACACTTATATACTCAGGGCATGACAAGGAAAATGCTCCACATAGATAAGGAGTTGCATTCATGGTAACGCTGATGGCACACGAGAATACGAAGAAATTATTGGGCACAATGGTATAGGAGAAATGAAAATGGTGAAAGACTGGCAGACTTCTACATAGCTAATGAGCTCGTTATTGGGGCAGCAAATTCCAGCATAAGAATATCCACAAGATAACTTGGGTGTTCCCTATTAATAGAACAGAAAACTTAATTTACCATATATATATATATATATATATATATATATATATATATATATATATATATATATGTGCATTAGCAAAAAAATTCAAAAGGTCACTAAAAGATGCACAAGCTAAATGAGGAGCTGATGTTGCATCTTTTAACCATCTAGTTTAGGCAAGACTCAAGCTAAAACTGAAGAAAAGCTGGGAAGAGCCAGCTGATAGACAAATAAAATACAACATAGCTTTTCTGGTATACTATAAAAAATGACAAGCATTCAGTATTACTTTGAGAAATAAGTTCCAGGTGCTGCAAGGCTAAACAGATAGTCAGATAATAATGTCTCTTGTCCCCTTCCTTTTCATCCTTGCCACTGACTGGATAATGAAAAAATCCATGGTCAAAAAGAGGAATGGGATAAATTTGATAAAGTGGACAACCTGGGAACAACTGAATGACCAAGACTTTGCAGATGAAATTGCACTTTTTTCCCACAACCAGCAACAAATGCTGGAAAAGACAAGACAAAAGAAGTAGCCACTATTTCAGCACAGCTCAGACTCATTACAAATAAAAGCAAGACAAAGATCATGAAGGTAAACTCAGCTAACCAAGTGCACATCTCTTTAGCAGGAAATGCACTGGAAGAAGTGGGGGCCTTCACATACTAATAACTGACATAAATGGTGGATCCAAAGCTGATGTTAGAGATAGAATTGGAAAGGCTAGATTAGCATTTGTGCTATTCAAGAAAATATGGGAGTCAAAGGACCTGACTCTGCAAGCAAAATTTTCAACACAAATAATGTCAAAACAGTCCTATTCTATGGAGCTGAAACTTGGAGAACTAAAGTGAATATCATGCATAAAGTACAGACCTTCTCAAGCACGTGCCTTAGAAAGTTTCTGAACATCACATGGCCAAACATCATAACTGAGTCATAACCAACAAAGACTTTCTGTAAAGGACATACCCATGCCCATAGCCTCTTGCGGAAGACATCATTAGGAAAAGAAGGATATGGATAGGGCAAATTCTTTGTAAACCTCCCCAATAACATCATCAGACAATCCCTAACATGGAATCCTCAGAGAAAAAGGAAGAGAGGAAGGTCAATGAATACATAGAGATGCGAGCTAGAGGCAGACACACAAAGTTTATGCCTGGAAGCAACTGGAATGGAAAGCACAGGACTGAGATGAATGGAAAATACTTGTAGATGGCCTATGCCCCTCCCCCCCCCCCCCCCCCCCCCAAAGGCAAGGTAAAAGGCATAAGTAAGTAAGTAGTCACTGAATAGATCAATTGCATCCCCGCCTTAACTTATACTACTTAGAGAAGACTTAGAGGAAGCCTGGGGCCAGGGAGTCTAATTCTAAAGCTGTCATTTCTTTCTTACTCTTACTATAACATTTAGTAGTCTTTAACATTAATTTAAGTAAGTCTGTCTTACTAGATCTAGAAGTAGTCATAATCATAATTTATTTATTTAATTTAAAATTTAGTATAAAATGCACAACATACATGACATTAAATTAATGAAAACTTGTAAAGTTAAAGATTTAATAATTATTACATTTAATTAATACAACTGATTATATCTTTCAAATGTTCAACTGTTTACGTACTTAGACTTAATAAAAGCTTCGGCTTCGGGCAAAGGTCAGCCGACTTTTTCTTTGGTTGAGAATTTTTATTTCGTTTAAAATTGCTTATAATTACAATCTTGTATTTAAGGTTATCTTTACGGTTCAAAGTCTCTTTTACTACCGAGAAATTTCACGGCGATCTTCACAAACTTGTCATCCCTTCCAACTGGACGCGTAATGTCATTTAGGCCTATTTATGATGGCTCTTTTAACCCCCCACTCCGCCAAAAGCTAATTAATCATGTAAGTTTAAGAAGCTAATTTTAATTAAAAGTATATTTACTTCATGTTTTATTCATTTCATTAATTTTAATCCATATTGTCCCACCGATTTTTTAAAATATGATAAGCATGTGTTTTGTCAGTGACTTTTTCATATCATGTCAATTTTGGGAGGAGGTGATATTTGACTATTACAGTAGGCTAGTACTGCAACGGAGCTTGCTTGTATTACATCTCCGTCATGTAACACTGATAAAGTGAATCACCCATGAAGTCAGGTGCCGGAATGTCAGAGTCAGAGACGTAGTTGGAGTCTTTTTCAAAATTAGAAAATTTAAGATTTTTTTTTAAAAAGTGTGACGTCACAAATGTTTGACACCCCCCCCTCCCGACCCTGTCACAAAGGGTGACAAATTCTTGCCCCCCCCCCTTTTTTTTTCGAGCGTGACGTAATTTGCGAACGACCTCTAATATGTGTGGGTATGGGTATTTTTGCTCTATTCCGTTTTTTAAAGGCGAAACAAATAAACAAATTAACATTTATTATTTATCCTATTTTAAGGTGTTCCTTTTTTCATGTCATGTTACCTTACTTATTATTATTATTTTATAGAGATGTAAAATAATTGTGTGAGCTTTGGTACTTAAAAATAACAGCCGATGGAACATAATTTAAGACCTGCTTTTTTTAAACAGTATTGGTTGCTCAATTTTTAACTTAACACAAGTTGTATTAAACTATTACCAAATGTCTGTTTGTTCCCTTTTGCGAAAATGCTGAAAAATCTGGCCTTTGTATTGTTGACATGAAACCATGGATTCGCACCTTATAGAAATGATACCATGTGTTATGGATTTTTTAGAGCTTGATGCCAACGAACTGCTTACTGCAGGTACAATTTAAGAAAATAATTGGACTTATTCATTTAATAACTAGGGCTTAACCGGGGACAGTTTTTTTGTTGTTTTTTTACACCGAGTATTTTGAGAAAATATCCGGTGGGTCCAAGTCCAAGTGTTACAATACAACTTAGTCTTAGTTCACTGTTACACAAAAAAAGTTATTTTTCTCATTTTCTATAATTTATAATATATGACGGCCTTTAAACATTAGTCATAGGCCTATAGACAGTTCTACACCTTACCTGCCGGCCTTTAAACAATAGGCCTCTGGAGGTCCTATACCCTACCTGCAGGCCTTTAAATTACTCACACTCAAATACTTAACAAATAGAAATAGGCTAACTTAATTAATATTAATATAACAATTCAATACGGACAATACGGTCTAATACTAATACAGTCCTAGTCCTACACTACCCATCATCCATGGCTCTTTCTTCTTCTATATCTTGAGTACCCAAGATCAATGTAATGATCATTCTGGCTCTTATTTATGTAGAGGGGATTCACAATGTTTCTTTGCCTAGTATTGAATTGGATATTTCACTGATTGCAAGGGCTACTCAGCAGGGTATCGGGAACTGGAGGTTGGAAGGCATGAGACTATTAAGACAATAGATACAAATGTGTTAAGTGAAGTCCCCTCAACTCTGTTCCTTTTGGGAGCTTGTTCCAGTCCCTGATTGTCTATGACAGGAATGTGCAGTTCCTGTACTGTATTCTTGCTGTTATGAGCCGGAACTGCCTGTCATGGCCTTGTCTCTGTCGAGGGTATAGAGGGACAAGTTTCTGTTTAATGCTGGAGCAGTGGACCAGCCCATTTTTATCGTGCATCATGGAGAGCCAGTGATGACCAGCCCAGTGTTTATTGATTAATATACTTTTTGCCTCCGAAAAAATGCAACCTTTTTACCTGAGTTCAACAAACAGCATGACAGCTTTTTTTCATTTAAATATAAACATGTTGAGTAGTGGGAGGGCCAGTTGGGAAGAGTAAGCAGCCACACCAGAAGCAAAATATATATAATAGAAGGTACTCTGCATGCCATTTTAGCCTAAGGCCTAATGTTTCTTTAGCCCATGATAAACTGAAAGTGGGATAATCTCTTAATTTAGTCAACTAGAATATAAATTATACATTTTTAAATAAATGACTCGGGATGATAATGGAATTGAATGGAAGGCATTTTGCGATACTTTCCGGTTTTTCACCTGATCTTGAGAACTCATGTGCAAATCCAAATTTTATGTATTTAACTGAGTCGAGTTTTGATGTATTTATTCTCCAAAAAAAAAAGAAAGGCACAATATTTCAACTCCCTTGTCAAGTCCTTATCCTTTTATTGAGTATTGACAGTATTACAATAATTTTATTATGTAATATTTAGTTAGGAAATATTAAATTAGACTTTTATTTTATTATTTTTAAAGAAGAATCTATTTATTGATAATAACGTTTCTCGCATCATTGGGTTTTGAGAATTTTTTGTTCTAAATAATATAGGCTAACCCAAACCTTTTTCACTCCCAAGAACTACAAAGAAAATGTAATCTCTGAAAACCGTAAAAAAAAAAGTACTATTTTAAATACCCGGTCTCCATATCATTAACAGATTTTGATACATTGATACCGTTATCATGATAAAAATTTTTACTCAACCTCTGCCTCCCTCCTGATCTGAATTACCTGAATTTAAAAAAAAACAAAAAAAACCCCAGAATACTTACAGTTATACTTCAAGACAAGCCCAGCTTTCACATCTAACATTGTGTTTTTTTTATAAATATTCTTTATCTCATAAAAATTTCCCATGCAACTAAATTGTATTTTGAACTAATTTGAAAACCAAATAATTACTTAAATTTAAAGAAAACCTTAACCCTTGCTAGTTAGTAGTACAATTTTAAATTTAAATATTATACAGATGAAAGTATTGTGTCCATCTCCTATTATTAGGCATTTCTGGAAAATTCAAAAATCGGGTATCATAATTTCGCTGTCAAAATGATATCAACATATTTTTATTCTCAGATTCAGATAAATACGGTACATAAAATGAATCTTTAATTTTTTTATTTCTCTTTTTATAACACAATGGTCCGTGAATGCAAAAAACGGAGAAAGTTGTGGAGTGTACAGTTTTTATCTTGTACAATTTGTTTAATAGTCTTTGTGGTAGTCTCTTATTTTTAAGGCCCTAGCCCTAAGTGCAATGCAAATGAAAAACATTTTTTGTTTTATAGTTAACTTTTTTTATTGGCTTAAATAATCAACTTTCAAGTTACTTCATTATTAAAAGGATTTTATAAGTCAAATGTCTTTTTGTTCCAAAACACATAAAGTAAAGACCTATTAAAATATTACATTTAAATACTGATGGGCTGTAGACCTACAACATATACCTATACCTATACCTTAATAAACAACAAAGTCTAATCATTAGAAAATTTGATAAACATTAGGCTTACTTGATAAATATTTATTATTTAGGCATAATTGGTATTTATTTATATTATTATTGCCTACTAGAACTAGGCCTACTCCTTTAATTAAGAGTTACTACTTCTGCCATTACTACTACTACAGTACATAATAAAGTGATCAGAGTAAAAACAAAGTTATAGCAGTGGTTCCGAACCACTTCCAAGGGGCTCCACGCTCGCTCCAGGAAATAAAATAAATAAAATTGAAGGAAACTTGTCAGACAGAGGGTAGGCTTAGTGGCTCCGTTATAGAAATCGATTCTAAAAAGAGCTCTGTGAGCCAGTAAGATTCGGAACCACTCAGTTAAAGTATGGGTACGACGACGAGGGAAAAAATATTTATTTTCAGATAGAAAAGAGCTAATGGATTATTTCAAATCAAATCTGCATTAATATCATTTGTGGTTGTCCAGGTTTGGCTAATTTAAACTTGGACTTGATGGTGATAACATAAATTGAGAGGAAAGAGTAAAAGTATACTTTTTATTTTAAAAGCTATATTTTTGGGTCTGTTTTAATTAGTCTTACTCAACTTACTGAATACTGGAATTGTAGGCGGCAACCAAGGGTAGGCTACTCTGATTAACACAAAATTTGGCCATAGGGTACCCCATGGTATTATAGATTGTTTTATAGTCATTATTCAAAAGTTTTAATAAATTATATACTTGAAATTTATTCAATTTCTTTCACATCCAGGTTTCTTTGCTGATGCTGGGGAAGAAGGTATTTTAGCAAGTTTTTTAACCAAGCAGAGCTCAGCAGAAAAGGATGAAGCCAATGCCTGTGGGGAACTGTCTACCTCTGCTAAAATGTTGAGACTCTCGCCTCAGGACTTTCGCTTACACTTTCGCATGTCATATTCAATGTTTTGTGATCTTCTTACAGCAGTAAAAGAACACTCATCATTCTTGTCTTCTGATAAAAAGCGAAAATCTGGTGAACTCAAATTAGAAACAAAATTACAGATAGCATTGTATTACTTGGGTTCATTGCACACACGGGAAGAAATAGCTGACTATTTCAATATAGACCAGTCTAGCCTGGAACTTGTCTTAAATCAGACAGTAAATTGCCTATACGAACTAATGCAGGTTCTTATATCATGGCCTGATAAAAAACAATTTAAAAGCATTATTGATGGTTTTCAGAAAAGCTCCCGCTTGCCCAATATCATTGGGGCCATTGATGTCACTCATATAAACTTACAAATTGCAGACTCGGATAAAAAGTTTTACCTGAACTCTTGTAACAGACCAACGGTCATCTTGCAGGCTGTGTGCGATCACAGCATGAAATTTCTCCATTGTTGTACTGGGTGGCCGGGGTGTGTTGATGATGTCAGTGTCCTACATGATTCAGACTTATTTCAAGATGTGAAGGAGAATCAGTCTGTCTTTTTCCCCAATGACTGTATGCTAGTTGGTGACCTTGCCTACCCGTTGTATAGCTGGCTACTCACACCGTATGAAGGCCCAGATAGTAACTTAAATGACAAACAAATACAGTATAATTTTTATCTAAATATAGCACATAATACCATCTCAAAAGCTTTTCTTCATCTTCGGCGCAGATTTCCCCGCCTTGAAAATATTGATGTAAGCGATTTGGAAAATGTTGTTAAAATAATTTTAGTTACATGTGCACTGCATAACTTTTGTATTGATCAGGGTGATACAGATCTTTTCATGGACTCTCTGATTTGTGAAGAGAGATTAAGCACAATATCAGAGCCGGATAATAGATTTTCAAATACAGAGGCATTTCTTCAAAGAGATAAAATTTCTCAAGCACTTTAAAATTTCATGTGTTGTGTAAATAAAGGGCTGATTTATTTTTACATTTCCAAGAAAACCTGCCTTACAGTTTTGTTGTCATTTGTTTTTTAATGAGATTATTTTGTAATCAGGGTTTATACAAAACAGGACTTTAGCAAGAATTTTGTTTGTAACTTCAATTTTTAGTGAAAGATTACATCGTAAATTAGCAAGTGATATATGTTATTTATTAATAATCTGGGTAAAATTATCTCTTGAAATAAACAGGTTTTAAATTCAGTGAATGACTCTGGTCAAATTGTTAAATATTGTATATAGGGCCTTGCAATTATATATATGTACCAGATCAGGGTACAATGTTTCAAACTTACTTTTACTTGTACCTGTACTAGACTTTCATTTTTATTTTTTGCAAAAACTATTTTTCAAGACATTAATTTTTTTCAAAGTAACAAACATTCTGAAATAATCCCTCTTCATCAAGTTGGTATTGAATATTTAAAAAAATCAATTCCTGGTACCAAAAACCCACAAAATAAAAAGTACCAGTATGTTTTAATTTTAGAATTCATAAAAAAAAGTCTTTAACTATAAGAGACATTTACTTTTACGAACCTAGAGGTACCAAATGAGTCATGAGCTCCAAGTATTGAAAGCACCGTTCTTTGATAATGCCAGCTCACCAAATCAGCTGCCGTGTTGACATCTTTCTCGTTGGATCTGGTGCATTTAAATACCAGTATTTCCAGTTGGAACTAATACTTTGCTAACATTTAGGTACCATGGTACCGGTTCTCAAAAAGTCAAGTTTCATAACCCCTTTCCCCTTGGTTCATCTGTCTTTTTGTTCGTAACACCCCTCTCACCCACGTGTCCTGTACAAAGAGCTCACAACCCCCCCCCCAAAAAAAAGTTGATGTATAAACCAATATGGCTACAGTAGACAGTACAATACAATGAAATGAAGTCAAGGTATTCCAGTGATGTATAAACCAATATGGCTACAGTAGACAGTACAATACAATGAAATGAAGTCAAGGTATTCCAGTGATGTATAAACCAATAAGGCTACAGTAGACAGTACAATACAATGAAATGAAGTCAAGGTATTCCAGTGATGTATAAACCAATATGGCTACAGTAGACAGTACAATACAATGAAATGAAGTCAAGGTATTCCAGTGTTGTATAAACCAATATGGCTACAGTAGACAGTACAATACAATGAAATGAAGTCAAGGTATTCCAGTGTTGTATAAACCAATATGGCTACAGTAGACAGTACAATACAATGAAATGAAGTCAAGGTATTCCAGTGATGTATAAACCAATATGGCTACAGTAGACAGTACAATACAATGAAATGAAGTCAAGGTATTCCAGTGTTGTATAAACCAATATGGCTACAGTAGACAGTACAATACAATGAAATGAAGTCAAGGTATTCCAGCGTTGTATAAACCAATATGGCTACAGTAGACAGTATAATACAATGAAATGAAGTCAAGGTATTCCAGCGTTGTATAAACCAATATGGCTACAGTAGACAGTACAATACAATGAAATGAAGTCAAGGTATTCCAGCGTTGTATAAACCAATATGGCTACAGTAGACAGTACAATACAATGAAATGAAGTCAAGGTATTCCAGTGATGTATAAACCAATATGGCTACAGTAGACAGTACAATACAATGAAATGAAGTCAAGGTATTCCAGTGATGTATAAACCAATAAGGCTACAGTAGACAGTACAATACAATGAAATGAAGTCAAGGTATTCCAGTGATGTATAAACCAATATGGCTACAGTAGACAGTACAATACAATGAAATGAAGTCAAGGTATTCCAGTGTTGTATAAACCAATATGGCTACAGTAGACAGTACAATACAATGAAATGAAGTCAAGGTATTCCAGTGTTGTATAAACCAATATGGCTACAGTAGACAGTACAATACAATGAAATGAAGTCAAGGTATTCCAGTGTTGTATAAACCAATATGGCTACAGTAGACAGTACAATACAATGAAATGAAGTCAAGGTATTCCAGTGTTGTATAAACCAATATGGCTACAGTAGACAGTACAATACAATGAAATGAAGTCAAGGTATTCCAGTGTTGTATAAACCAATATGGCTACAGTAGACAGTACAATACAATGAAATGAAGTCAAGGTATTCCAGTGTTGTATAAACCAATATGGCTACAGTAGACAGTACAATACAATGAAATGAAGTCAAGGTATTCCAGTGTTGTATAAACCAATATGGCTACAGTAGACAGTACAATACAATGAAATGAAGTCAAGGTATTCCAGTGTTGTATAAACCAATATGGCTACAGTAGACAGTACAATACAATGAAATGAAGTCAAGGTATTCCAGTGTTGTATAAACCAATATGGCTACAGTAGACAGTACAATACAATGAAATGAAGTCAAGGTATTCCAGTGTTGTATAAACCAATATGGCTACAGTAGACAGTACAATACAATGAAATGAAGTCAAGGTATTCCAGTGTTGTATAAACCAATATGGCTACAGTAGACAGTACAATACAATGAAATGAAGTCAAGGTATTCCAGTGTTGACAAAGTTATGGCTGCCCCCCGCCCCCCCCCCCCGGGTGGCAATTTTGTAGATTATTAGGAGGACACTTTCCGAGACAGTGAAGTAGGGAAAGAAGGGGTGGGGGTTGAGAAGTAGCCCGCCCTGTGGAGCACTTTTTTTCTATATATTTATATAGAGAGGCGACAATTTTGTGACGATGAGAGGCTAAAATTTGGGAGGGGGGGGTCACTAACCTTAGCTAAGCCAACGCGCATGGATACAGATAATTTCACTTAATGTGTTTGTTTCAATGTGGGTGGGTGCAATTTTAAAACATGATATATTTTAAGTTAACAACCTTTATTGATTTTTATATAGGCCTACCGGTATTGCAATACAATTTTATGTCAATATTTGTTTTTTAATCCTACAAGCCTAAAATTATGAGTCATAATAGTCATAAGGCCTGAAATGGTAACAGAATTAAAATCAATCTGCTTAACGGCAGCAGGAAACACTCTTCGTGTTTTGTTTGTTTGTTCTATCAGTTTAATTTATTAAGTTATTTGGTTGGGGGGGGGGGGGGGGGTAAAACAATAAGTGTCGTTGGCTCCCACCCCAGCTGTTTGGTTCAGCTAAACGAAAAACGCTACATATTACGCCATGTACACAGAATAACGTATAGTGGACTTAAATTTTCATTTTTATTGTTTTAAAAATAATTAAATACTAAGGATTTCACAGATATTTTATGAGAGAGTTGGCTTTATGATAGATATTTGAAAGTGTCAATATAATAATTATTAAAAATGGGTACTCATGGATTACCCTCCTATCGCCAAACGCACAAGTACACAAAATCATCCCCCACCCCCCGGGCAGTGCGCTCGTATTATATGCAGTATTTCTTTCAGTTCAGACAATAATCGGGGGGGGGGGGGGCTCTAAAAAATTAAAAGACTGCTCTGCTTGACCTGGCTGTGTTGTACAAATATTTTTTTTAAAAATTAATTAATAGCAATGGGGTTTTTATTTAAATTTAAACTGTTCTTTGGGTAAACTACAGCTCTTTCTGTATCCGGTGAATAGTGGTGCATGGCCATTCTGAGCTTTTTGAGCGCTTTGTCTGGTTAAATAGCGGTGTATTTAATTGAAAACACCATGTCCACAGGGTCGTCTTAAAACCTTCGAAATGAATTTTTTTACAAAAACAAAAGAAACATTCCTTCCAAAAAAAAAAAAAAGTTTCAATCCCCAAAAAAAGTACTGCTAATATAACAATGCATCGGAACACAAATGAAAGGGAAAAAACGTAAACCTACGAATAACAATGATACCATTTACCTTTTCTAAATATTTCCAAGTTTAACCAGAGTCAACGCTAGAAGGTTCTGTGCATGAGTGCCCGCAGGGGGGGCGCAAGGGGGCACTTGCCATCCCCCCCCCCCCTAGATTGACTGGATTAAAAAAATTTAGACAAAAATAGACAAAAAATGTATTAAAGTAAATAAAAAATAAAGAGAAAGCAACAAAGCTGATGTCCGTTCGTTNCCCCCCCCCTGAAATGTTAATCGATTTTTTTGCCCCCCCCCCTCCTAGAAAGTTTTCTGCGGGCGCCCATGGTTCTGCGTAAAGATCTATACAATTTTATGGGTTTTTAAAATTGGGCATTTTTATAAATTGTATCTGAAAGGCATAATTGAATTGAGAAGACATTAGATGTTTACTAAAAACATCATACATATCTGAAAGAAATCATGTAACATAAATCATCAAAACAAAGTATATATTTCCAAATTTTCAGTTGATTTAAATGTTTATTTATTGGAATTGCAAACTAGTATAACTTTCTTCACATGAAATACAGAGTGCCTCTTCGACAGAATTTGATTACATTTTTATTACCAAATCCATAGAATTAATTTTGAAATTGACGATTTAGTTTAAAGAATTAAAAAAAAAAAAAAAAAAAACTGTATCAAAGCAAAAATTTTTTTTTGATACTATTTTTTTTTTTTTTTGCCATTTAATGGAATTGGCATTATAATCGAAATGCTTATTCACAAATTCTTTATAAAATTCTACTGGATTCTTCTCTTAAATATGTAATTTTAAAAAAATGTATGCGAATAAAAGTGGGGAGGGGGCAGATTGTTCATTATTCTGATAATAAAAAGAGAAAAGAATGTGAAATTTAATGAATATAGCTAAGTATTAAAAATCTATGTTATACAGGAAACCGTGTTACAAAAGTAGAACACTAAAAATCACACACAAACAGACACACACACAGACACAAACCCTGACGATTTAATAATATTTGATGAAACTTGCACTATGCGTATGAGCCCGTTTAATTCCTCAATTTTTTCAAACCAAAAAAAAAACAAACCACAGCACTTTTTTTAGGTTTCATTTTATTTAGCTCAAATACACGGAATCGAGTAGGCTACAAAGAAATATCAAGAAGACACCCAAAGGCACACGATCTGCTTCATTTTGGATTCATTTGAGCGGAGCTTCTCAAAACTAGGGCTAATCAAGATGTCAACGATCCACCTCGGGACAGTCAAGGCTTTCTGATGTTGATCAACTATCAATGGAAAGTGACTACGGTGAAGGATATGTATTTCCATCAAGTCATTGACAGGTTTGCAGCTTTGAAGACCAGCAAAGGACCATTTTAAATAAAGTCAATTTAATGTAAAAATAACTTTAACTTAACGTTGTTGCAGTTCTTAAATACATTTACACCATGACCTTCAATTAATTAGTTTTTCTTGTTGTTATTTTTTATGCTGTGGACTTATCTTAACAAGAAGAAATCAATAGTGGAAGTCGGGAGGAGAGGGGGTGGGGTGACCCCCCATGAGTTTACCGCACCGGATGACACCAACCCTAGCTAAGCCACTGTCTAAAGGCAGGCATATACTATAGAAAATGAGAAGTTAAACTTGGACCAACCGGGTATTTTCTCAAAATAACCGGAGCTGGTGGAAAAAGAAAAAAGAAAAAAGAAAACACCTTCACCCGGTTAAGCCAAGTATATATTAATGGTAATAGTAATAGTAAAATAAGCCTTTGTAGGAGAAATTCGCTTATTTTATTTTTGTAGTTTGCATTATTAAATTTAAGTGTTAAGTGTAACTATCAACGCAAATAGGCATATCTTTTTTACAGAATACAAAATGACTTTATAAAAATCTACATTTGATAGGCCTATTCATTAGGTCACAATCCTTATATAAACGTCAAATAACTCTCTTTTATCGAGAACAATTTTGAGTCCATTAAACGGAAGTGAATACAAATTGCGCTTCTTTTAATTTGAGTTGTCTGCGTAGTTTAGCTTTCCAAGTTTTATTTATTCCCCCCCCCCACCCCCACTAAATTTGTTATCTTCAAGTCCGAAATATGAAGAAAGCTAAAGTTAAAGATAAAGGTAAATGCATGAAATTTAAGATCAACTAATAAATTAGTATTAAACCCACGCTAAATCACAAGCCCATTAGTTTGAATGTACTGCCTTTTGCTTATTCAAGGAGTCAAGCTTTCACATAGTCATATTCACATCCTGCTTTAATACATTTCTATTAGCATCACTAGTATTAGTAAAAGTAACAAAAAGCTTATTTCAAAGATATTTAAGACCTAAAACCGTCGGTATAATATAAAATAAATAATGCGGGCCTCTCAAAGGTAGTATCACCATAAAGCCAAGGCCTCAGAGTTACGCTCGCATGGACCTCAAATTTACTCACAAGTGACACACGTTGATTAAAATATTTGCTGTTTATTGTTATTTTAGTATAACCAATTGCATAATGGCAGCGACGAGTTTCAATTTCGGCTCGTTTGAAGTTTCAGAAGTGAACTTAAATGAAATTGTTCGGGTTAATTTTCAATTTATTTGTCAACGTTGTTTAATATAACGGTAATCTCTCAATAACGTTTAGTCTTTTCGATATATATATATATATATATATATATGTATATATATATATATAAATATCAGTTAACTCTTCTTAATAATTTATGTAAAAATGTAAGAAAACTAGTAGGCTATCTACATTTTATACATTCCAGTTAAGCCTTGATTAAAAGAAGACAGACATTGAAGATGATTATTTTCGGGTAACGATCAAAGGTTCTCGAGATTTCAAGGGTTGAATGCTAGAATTCTTATTTGTCCACTTGCTAAAACTTTATTTTTGCCACGCAAGTTCTAAGAAGTTTTGCAACATTTTCTATTTGCAGGAATGGCAAATATGTTCAACATTTTAATTTCATTTTGCTACAAAAACCCATGGTACCGTGAGATCATTGGTCATCATTTCTAGGCATCATGGAGCAGATATCATTTGTTTGATGTGCACAGAATGGTGTTTCGTAGAACCCACTACTCAATACTCACAGAATGTTAAGCTGGATCATTGTACTCGATACTCACAGAATGTCAACAATGGATTATTTAAAGCGATACTCACAGAATTTGCTACTGGATCATTTAGTCGATACTCACAGAATGCTTCTACTGGCTCATTGTAGTCGACACTCACAGAATGTTAATGCTAGATCATTGTAGTCGATACTCACAGAATGTCAAAAATGGATCATTTTAGTCGATACTCACAGAATGTTGATGCTACCATTTCGGTCAATTGCGCACTCACAGAATGTTAATGCTGAAACATTTTAGTCGATACGCACAGAATGCGAATACATCCCACACGACGTGGTTATCTACCGAACGCATGCACTGAACAGAGAGCGACCTCGCTTACGATGGGTTAGAGGGTTTCTACGGTAACAAGAAATTGTGCAATCAAATGAATCATTAATTTTTATCTTGCTTCCGACCCATATCGATATGAAATGTTGACATTGCTTATTAAGTTTTGTTGTTAAATATCGCCATCAAATTCATTCTAACAAATATGTTTAATCAACCGATTAATTCTTAAACATCTCAGTTCTGGTAACATCATTTAGAGTTTACATCATCTTGTCCAGCACTGATGTTGATGGAAGCAAACAAAACAAAGAACTCAAGGCGGTTATCAGTTTTAACAGGCAGGTTGAATTCTGTTTGATTTTAGATGCAAACTGTTAAAACAAACTAATATAAAAAAAAAACCAGGCTCATTTGAATCAACATGGAGCCGCCCGATGAGCCTACAGCCGAAAAAAAGAAAAAGAAGAAACGGTCGAAGAAAGAAAGAAAGGCAAAGTCGCGCTCCCCAGAATCTAAGGAATCGCCACAGAAAGAAGACTCCGAGAGCGGCGAAGACATCTTGAATGTGAAAAGCGGTGACAGCGCCGAGCAGCAAAACAACGATGTGATCAAAGAAACAAAAAAATTCCTCGAGGGATTAAAGCGGTCAAGAAGGCTGAGCTCGACCTGGCTAGCGGATTACGGGTACGACGGCAAAAATGGTGATCCGACATTACCCACGCGAGCAAGTTTCGACGACCACAAGATGGTACTGTGCGAAACGTACCCGGCAGAGGATTCTAAAATCTACTCCTATGAGATGGAATTCGATGACGCTGAATTCAGTCTGCCCACAGGTGACATGCAGCGGCCTGAACAAATAAATAAGGAGCAAGCCAAAAAGAGCAAGAAGAAAGGCAAAAAGAAAAAAACAACCGACGTAGCGAAAGAAGCCCCCGTTCCCGAGATAAGTCCCTCGAAATCTTCAGACGACGTTAGTCGAGATGTTGAGAGAAACGGGAACTCTTCATCTGAAGAAGTTAATGTAGATTCTCGTCGAACCGGAAACCAGGACATGGGGGGTGAGCATGTATCCAGAAGTGAGAAGAAGAAACTTTCAAGAAAGTCATTGAGTCGAGGGAGAAAACGGTCACAGAAGGAAGATGCGGTAACAAAAATGGAAAGTCCATCAAAAACAGATTTGGCTCCCGAATTAGAAATAAAAGAATCGAAGAGATCTATCACCTTAAAGGACGGCAAGCCACGGACCAAAAAACGTAGAGAAACAAAAACAAATATTGATCATGACTTTAAGTCGAGTCCAGGGAAAGAAGACAATTTGGTGGTAAATCAAAGGGATGCGAAAACAAGCTTGGCTTCTGGGTTAGAAGTAAAAGAATCAAAAAGATCCCTCGATGTAAGGAAGGAAAGCCTGCGGCCCAAGAAGCGTAAAAAGACTTTCAAATCCGAACAAACGTCGCCTCCAAGTTCAAGTTCTACGGAGATATACGAAAGAAAAGAGCAAACCGTAAAATCACCGCGCCACCGGAAATCCCCCGATGACGCGACGGAAGAAGTCATCGTCGGGAAAAAGGAGACGGAAATGTGGCCACTCGTAAGCTACAGGAACGTTTTTCAGAAATTCAGGCGGAATCCGAGAAAAACGCTCTGCGATTACAAGCTGCGAGAAATCGACGAGATCTGTGAGACGTTTTTCCTCAACAAAAGACTCATGACCATCGGACACTTTCCGAGGAGTCCGCTCATTAAGACTTCGCTGAAAGAAATCGATCAGTTTTGTGAGACTATGGTGCTGACCACGTCAAACCGAGGATCGTTCTCTCAAAACTCGGTGTATAACAAGCTGGCCAACTATTACGCTTCCGAGAAGACGGCCCCGACGCCAGATCGTGCGGTCAAGCAATCGTTTATCGAGTACGTCATCTACGAAGATGTCCCTGAAATTCGCGAAGTTACGTCAACTGATGATTCCCAAAGTCTGAAGTTATCACCCTTACCGGCCTATTCTAAGAAAAAGCTCGCCACGCACCTTTTCCAACGAAAGCATTATGAGCTCTGATATAATCTATGACATCCATCTGAAAAAAAGACGAGAAATTGAGTTTCTTTCAGGCTAAGACACAAACTGCGCGAATGGATTTAGGGATACAATTAATGCTCACGGTATTTTTTGCATCAATAAAAAAAAAGAAAAGCATGTTTATGCTCTTAAATCGTTATATGGGGTCAGAAATCTAGCCAATGTTGAACAATTCAATTCTATTGGTGGCACGTACAAGGCCAAGCACTCGGGACAGATCATACGTCCCCGATTCCATTTGTATATTTCCAAGGAAGGTACGGTACTCAAACTTTTATTTATAATTTCCGTGTAACATGTTCTCGCCATTTCTTAAACCCGAGTTTACTCTTCAATTCTTCGGATCATTTAACACAATAAAACAAAATATTATAACATTCTTCTATAAAATAAAGTGTGCAGTGTAAACTGTTCTAGGAGCTTGCATTTCTGGTGAACGAATTACTTCTCACTTCAGTGATATTATGATAGCTTATTTACACGCGCAGAGTCAGCTGTTTGATGATCTGCATGAGTTGATGGATTTAACAAGAAGATTTGTGTTTGGGAAATGGTCAGTCGAAGGCAGTGGACTCGGTGCACTTGACTGTGTTTGCTGGTGGGAAGAAGTAACGCAATATTTAAGAAATCAGAGAGTTTTCTGCCAATGACTTGAGATCAACGTTCCAATATCAGAATTTTTAAGAACCGGGGGAAAATATTAAAATGCTTGCCTCGACGTCTAAATAGCGTCGCAAATGCCCCCCGACTGAAGTAAACAGAGATAAGAAGTTAACCCACAGTAACAAATAACACATACGTATAACTTATAAAATAACATACACTAATTAATAACAGATATTAGCAGAGGCATCGTCTTAGGCGTGATTTTACTCTCCCACGTCGCGTCAAAGAGTTCAGTCTGGGTGAAAAACGGACATCCAGGGCTATGCCCCTTTTGTAAGAGCAGACATATGGGCGGTTAGTCAGTAACAGCGCCGTACCGTCCCCGCACAGGGCCGCAATTCGTGTGTGTCCGTCTTCTGACGAACGATGTGCAAATTGTGTCTCGATGAATTCCCGACGGGACACAAAACGACACGCGCCATCTCTCCAGACACTGTCACGCCCCAAACACTTTTCCTGCGCCATCTCTCCAGACACTGTCACATCCCAAACACTTTCCCCGCGCCATCTCTCCAGACACTGTCACGTCCCAAACACTTTCCCCGCGCCATCTCTCCAGACACTGTCACGTCCCAAACACTTTCCCCGCGCCATCTCTCCAGACACTGTCACATCCCAAACACTTTTCCCGCGCCATCTCTCCAGACACTGTCACGTCCCAAACACTTTCCCCGCGCCATCTCTCCAGACACTGTCACATCCCAAACACTTTTCCCGCGCCATCTCTCCAGACACTGTCACGTCCCAAACACTTTCCCCGCGCCATCTCTCCAGACACTGTCACATCCCAAACACTTTCCCCGCGCCATCTCTTCAGACACTGTCACATCCCAAACACTTTCCCTGCGCCATCTCTCCAGACACTGTCACATCCCAAACACTTTCCCTGCGCCATCTCTTCAGACACTGTCACATCCCAAACACTTTCCCTGCGCCATCTCTCCAGACACTGTCACATGCCAAACACTTTCCCCGCGCTATCTCTTCAGACGCTGTCACATCCCAAACACTTTCCCTGCGCCATCTCTTCAGACACTGTCACTGCCCAAACACTTTCCCCGCACCATCTCTCCAGACGCTGTCACATCCCAAACACTTTACCTGCACCATCTCTTCAGACACTGTCACATCCCAAACACTTTCCACGCGCTATCTCTCCAGACACTGTCGCATCCCAAACACTTTCCCCGCGCTATCTCTTCAGACACTGTCACATCCCAAACACTTTCCCTGCGCCATCTCTCCAGACACTGTCACATCCCAAACACTTTCCCTGCGCCATCTCTTCAGACACTGTCACATCCCAAACACTTTCCCCGCGCTATCTCTCCTGACACTGTCACATCCCAAACACTTTCCCCGCGCTATCTCTTCAGACACTGTCACATCCCAAACACTTTCCCTGCGCCATCTCTCCAGACACTGTCACATCCCAAACACTTTCCCTGCGCCATCTCTCCAGACACTGTCACATCCCAAACACTTTCCCTGCGCCATCTCTCCAGACACTGTCACATCCCAAACACTTTCCCCGCGCCATCTCTTCAGACACTGTCACATCCCAAACACTTTCCCCGCGCCATCTCTCCAGACACTGTCACATCCCAAACACTTTCCATGCGTCATCTCTCCAGACACTGTCACATCCCAAACACTTTCCCCGCGCCATCTCTTCAGACACTGTCACATCCCAAACACTTTCCCCGCGCCATCTCTCCAGACACTGTCACGTCCCAAACACTTTCCCCGCGCCATCTCTCCAGACACTGTCACATCCCAAACACTTTCCCCCCGCCATCCGGATCCACGCTCTTCCCTTGACCTGAAAAATTCGTTTCTCCCACCCTACGCGTTCTCGTTTACGGGAACACATCTATCCAAAAACATTTCACAACATCCTCCATTTAAAAAAATAGAAATAACCGACATCTCACCACTTATGAAGAGCAAAATGGCATTATTACTACTGTCTACGGTCTACCATCTACGGTATGACACATACAAATTAGACTCGTCAAATAGCAAATTCTCATCAAATTTTAATAACACAATCTCATAAAATAACTGAGACTGTAAATTAAAAAAAAACAAAAACCAAAAACAACAGACACTCATAAAAAGGTAAATATCCCTTTGAGGTTATCATTCTTTATCATAACTTAATGATACAACCTTAATGATACAACCTTAATGATACAACTTTAAATTTTGTTTTCCTTAAATGTAAACGTCTTCCGATGCAGTGTGTAGAAAGAAAGACATGGTTTTCAAAATTGAAATGTATTTAATTTTAAAAAAAAAATAAACACATCCTTTAGATATGAATTATATATTTTTGTTAAACATTAAGAATTAAATAATGGTTTAAGTTTTAATTTCAACCGTTTCAACAACACCAACAACAATTCTTTGAACCTGCAATAAATCAATGTATTTTTTTTTTTAAAGTGGGGTTCAAGACATTTTAAAGAAATATTTAAAACCGGTATTTCAGTAATTTCATCGATTCAAGTAATCGCCAAACGTATGCACCATTAGAGACGCTGTCCTTGTTTGCTCACACACTCACCGTACGCCAGTTAATTCTTTAAGGCAAGCGCTTTAAAGTCTCGTTGTTTTGTTGCGTTCCCTTTTTTCAGGTTTAACCTTTCTTTGTTTAACTCATTTCGCTCGAGTCTCCGGGCGTCATCGACAAGGGACACACATAAATAAGAAAGGAGGCAACGCAGTTTGTCAGAACAATACTGTCGACCACATGATAGTTTTAATTTAAAACTCTGTATCAAACTTTTTTAACTTGAACCATCGTGCAGTAACAAATATTTTGTCACGCTAAATGTAATTGTTTGGTCCGACCAAAGAGGAAAAGTTTTACCAAAAACGATACTTTTTTGAACCAGTTCCCAGTCGTATTGAACTCGTCTTGTGAAGTATCAACGGATTAAAAAAAATAATAATCCATTTTCCGATAACCCTGTTTTTGATGTTTTTGCAAATTTTCGTTCAGCGAAGCTTAAAAATCATTTAGGGATTAATTGTATCGAATAAGTTATGTCAAACTCGAACAATGTACTAGATGATGGACTTTAAAAAATCACCTACACATGATCATCAGCTTATTGGAAAGCCTCAGCGAGCAATACGGATTAGGCTACACATTTGTTCTCTCTCTTTTTTTTTTTTTTTTTTTTTTTTTCGTTTTTTTTTTTTTGACTGGACGAAAGTAATAGTGAAACATCTGGTTTCAGCATTTAGGTGAGTGGTTCTAACCTGGATTAGGTGAGATGACATACATTAGAATAAGCACTTAATAAAACAACACACATGGGCTAGCAAACCTTCCCCCCCCTCCCACACCTTTATTTGAAGTTCCCCGCACATTTGGATTCATCGCGATGTTTGGTGTGATGCTCATCAAGATGTTTAATGAGATGCTCATCGTGATGTTTGGTGAGATGCTCATCGC